ACATGGCCTCGAGCAAAAGACATATTTTTACTGCATCGTTTAGAACCATGAATAGAGTTGTTCGCTCCATCAAACAAAAGGCTTGCAAAGGTACATATAATTTGTCAATGTTGTAACTTAAAATCTTATAATGGGTCTCTGTGTTGTCGTTCGAAAAGCAAGAGATGTATATATTTTTGTCCTTCACATATTGTGTGATTGGAAAAATGCGGAATAAAGCGTTTTATGCTTTATACGTTGAAAGAAGTGCGACGTGAATGTATGCAGGGTCGTTTCTCGTTCCAATCTTAATGGCCTTTGTCGTTTGATTTCAGGAGCAAGACCTACACCACATCCCAAGCCTTCCGGTAAGTAAAAGAGTCAATAGATTGCAAGTTCCAAAGTACGTTTATCTCCCTTATGACATTGTTCAGTCAATTCGTGTAAAGCATTTTTCAGGCGTGCTAATTATTTATATTCGTACACAGGACGTGCTTTGGCCGTCTATCCGCTTAACACTAACGTTCGTGGAAGGGACATCAGCCTTAGTCGAAACCGCCCTGGAAGACTGGTCAATGTTCGTCCAGCACGAGGTCCTGACGGAACACGTGGCGGTGCCTATAAATTCCTTGGACGGTCTAACAGCTACATTCAGTTCGCTAACCGAGGCAAGCTTGATGCTAGAAATTCCATCACCTTGTTGGCTTGGATAAAGCACGACGGACGATCTGGACCCATCTTTAATTACAACCCTAGAGGTTGGGGAGTGCACTTTTGGATGGTATCGCCAAAGACACTGTTCGCTAGATTTACAAGACGAAATCGTCGACAGCCATCACCAGTTATCTCACATCGGGTTCAACCAAGACGTTGGCAATTTGTGGGTGCCACATACAACAAGAGAACAGGCGTTGCAAAGCTCTTTATCAACAACCGTTTCGTAGCTCAAAGAAGAATCGGTCGATTCCAGATCGCCACCAACTACAACGTACGTATGGGAGCCAAGATTGGTGACAGACGGTACTTCCGTGGCAGCATTTCTTGTATGCAAGTATACGGCAGTTATCTCACAAGACGAAAGATTTTGAGCAAGAAGAAACGATGTTTCCGAAAAGGTAAGTTTCAATCACGAAAAAAGTTTTGCTTTTCTGAAAAAAAGTATTAGGTTGTGACTATTTTGCAAGAGTCTTTTGTGCAGCCGTTGAAGTAACTCTTCTTATTAGAAGCAAGTGCAGTGATGATTAATTATTTTGTTTTTGACTTGCTTCTTTGCAGTGGTACAACCGCCTCGTCCAGTACCTGTAGGTCCAGGTATGAAGAGTGTTCCGTGTATATTTCTTTAATAGCTAGCTGTCAATATGTAATATGACTTTCATCATTGTAACATAGGACTACTGTATTCCGATGATGATGATAAGTTTTATTTTCCACTTGTCTCATTTTTTCAATGGTTGTTTTCTGTTGTAGTTTGCCGAGCGAGAATCGACTTGGCTTTCTTGATCGACGGGTCTGGAAGTATCGAGCATTATGGCCGAGGAAACTTCCGACGTTGTCTGAACTTCGTCCAAAACATGGTTCGATCCTTCGTCATCTCTCCAAGGCATACGAGAGTTGCTGCAACTCTGTTCTCTTCTTCTGCTCGCCGTGTTTTCACCTTCGGGCAATATCGAACGAAGAGACAGGTATTGCATGCCATCAGCCGTATCCGCTATCCACGAGGCGGGACCAAGATTGGTCGCGCTCTCAACTATGTTCGAAGGTATACCTTTACGAAAAGTAGGCGTAAGCGTGTTCTTATTGTAATGACCGATGGAAGATCACAAGATAAGCTCGTGGCGCCTTCAAGAATGCTTCGTAGGATGAGTGTCGAGATCTTTGCAATCGGTATTGGTCGTCGTTACAGCATGACTCAGCTTATTCAGATGGCTTCAGATAGAGGACATGTTCTTACTGCAGCTTTTAGAAATATGGATTCGCTGGTTAGAGGTATCAAAGCTAGAGCTTGCAAAGGTATGTATAGGATTTAATTTTTGCCTTTTTTCTATTATTCTAGGACAGATAGAGCTAAAAGAAATTTTTTTCTCTCTCTAGGCAAAAAGCCATTGCCCCATAGACCATCTGGTAAGTCCAATATTGATGTTTTTTACCATTTTCCAAATGTTGTGATATTTATAGTAGGGTCGCACTAGTTCACTATTTCAATGTTTCAAATTATAGCTTTACAAATAGAAACTTTTATTCATATCAATAAATCGCAGCATGACTGATGTTATTTTATTTTATTTTATTTTATTTTTTTATCCTTAGGTACATTACGAGCAGTTGGTTTGTATCCTTTCAATGCTTTGGTCAAAGCTCGGGACATTAGCTTTAGCAGAAATCCAACAGGACGTCTGCATAATGTTAGGCCAGCATCTGGCCCTGACGGTCGTCAAGGGACTTCCTACCAGTTCTATGGACGTAGCAATAGTTACATCACTTTACCTAACCGAGGGAAACTGGACACCAGAAGGTCTATTACAATCTTGGCATACATTTTCCATTCAGGTCACAGCGGGCCTATCGTCCATTATTACGCTCGAGGTTGGGGTGTTCATTTCTGGATGATCAAGCGAAGAACGATTTTCGTGCGCTTCACGAAGAGAAGGAACCGTGGCGCAACGCATTCTCTCGCTAGTCGGTCTATCAGACCCAATACCTGGCAGTTTGTTGGTACATCATATGATCACAGGACCGGAGTCGCTAAATTGTTCTTAAACGGTAGAGTTATTGCTAGACGCCGTATTGGACGAATACGTCTTGCTACTAACTATCCTATACGTGTCGGAGCCAAGATCGGAGATGGACGTTATTTCAGAGGAAGAATCTCGTGTATTCAGATTTATAATGTTGCGCTCACAGCTCGTCAAATTGCTGCACGTGCAAGGAGGTGCTTCATGAAACGTAAGTGCCATTGCAATTAAGCAGCAAAAACATCTTAATTTGTCTTCTGATTCACTGATCTCTTTTTCGTTTCAACAGATAATATTAGACCAGCACCAGGTCCCCGCCCAAGACCAGCACTGCCAGGTAAAGAAAGGGGCATGCCTCATGTAAACAAATACCGTCAAATCCCGATAATAAGTCCTACGGTATACTCATTCATAAGGTTTTTTTGTTATGGGAATTTCACCAAGTAAAAAATATATTGGTAAACGGGTATTTCTTTTTTTTATTATTATTTTCCCTATTAATCTAATTGTCAAGAATAACATGTACGCGAGATATCAGAAGTGGGTTTAAAACCCAGGGGCTCAGATCTTTTAATTGTGTGAGGAAGGCTTATGGGTGGCTTAGCGTTGAGAGCGCTCGCTCCCATCAATGCGACCCGGGTTCGTGTCCCGCCCCGCTCGGTGTCTTATGTGATCGATGGTTTTCCGGATTCTCTAGTTTTCCTCAAAATTCAACTCCTAAATTCCAATTTAAATTTCAGTGAATGAAAAGCCACTGTGGAAATGCCACTGCTAATTCCTATTTATCTTATTTCATTTATTTATTTATACAAATGCAACAACAAATGCTTGACTATGGTAGTTGTAGTAACCAAACGTACAATTTGGAGTGAAGTGTTACCGATATTTTTATCATTTCATGAATTCATATATTCTTGCTTTTAGTCTGCGTGGCACGAATTGATCTTGGTCTACTTGTTGACGGATCTGGCAGCGTTGGAAAAGGAAACTTTGATCGATGCATCAAATTCATCCAGAATCTTGTTAGCTCTTTCAAGATTTCACGCCATCACACCCGAGTTGGCATTGTTGTGTACTCTAGCAGACCCATGCCTAAATTTAAATTTGGACGATATAATAACAAGCACAGCCTTATTCGCGCAATAGGGAAAATACGGTTAGTATCATGGTGATAAAACTTGATATAATAATCAGACATCGCCTGAAACTGATAACGAAACAGTGTTTCTGGGGAAGGCAGGGTATGGTTCAGTCTATAGATATATATAGATACCATATATCTGTAAAAAATCGTTATAAGAAATTGAACAAATTTGCACAAATTAGTAAACTCGGTAGACCTACAAAACTTTGCACTAATTTGTACAATTTTAGTAGTTAACTTTGTCATGGATATATGGTATGCAATCTAGCGAAGCGAAAAGCGCACTAGTGTGCCATGTGCTCTCATAAAGCACGCGTACAGTCAGAAAGGGAGATTTATTGCAGTTATTTCATAATTACTAAATAGTATCCTTTTTTCGCAACCATATTAAGGTATCCACGAGGTGGCACCAAGACTGGCTATGCCTTAAACTTTGTCAGAAGATATCTCTTTGCTTCAAGTCGTAAGAACCGTGTGTTGATAGTCATGACAGATGGACGATCATATGATAGAGTCACACATCCATCCCTTGCGCTTAAACGTATGGGAGTCAATATCTTCTCTGTTGGCTTAGGAAAAAGCTATAACTCTCGTCAGCTATACCACATGGCTTCGAACAGAAGAAACGTTTTCACTGCTTCATTTAGAAACATTGGATCTCTGATCAGAGCTCTCAAACAGAAGACTTGTCGTGGTAAGGCTAAGGATCTTATCATAAATTCCCATTGCGACACAATCTTGAGAATTAAAAATAATAGAAGAACAATTCGTGTGAACTGGTCATGCACCTCCTTTCACCCCTTTAGTTATATGTTCTATCGATACTCTATGGATTGATTGAAGACGATTGGTTTACTATTCGTTTTCTTGCAAAATGAACGGCAACTGAAGCTCTATGTTCTGTCATTCAAATCACATTATTATATATATATATWTWTTTTTTTCTTCTTAATTTGAGCCTTATTTATTTTAACAGCTGGCACAGGAAGACCAGTTCGTCCACGACCTGGTGGAAAAGGTAAGGACACTCGAACGATGTAATGTCACATTCTTCATGGCGCTGGAAGCGTGTACCGTCCCTTAGGCGGACAAAAACCACGCAAAGTCCAATATACTATAAGTACCTTTTCACGCGGCAGCCATGTTGGTTTGAACAATAAATTCCAGTATGAGAATGAACATGGCCACCGTGTAATAAAGGCCCATTGGCTGTACGCAATAGATTTATGTTAATAAGCCAATTATCTATTCATTAGTTTTCTAAGTAGGTGATAAAGTAGGTAGGTACTGCTGGGTTTTAATCAGCTGATAAATATATTTGATTCTCATTATTTGCTGCAAGTGTTGATCAATCGACACTGGCCACCACGTCGTGTTAAACAAAAGGAATTCAGCAACATAGTTAATCCCTATTTCACAATAATATCGGTCTTTTATCGGTCTTCTGGATGTGCCAAAAACCATACAATCAATTCCTTTGACTTTTACACAGCTTACTTTTTTTGTTGATTCTTTGTAACCTGACCTATTCATGTGTGTTCTCCTTTCCTCTAGTTTGCAAAACAAAGGTAAATCTTGGATTCTTAATCGACGGTTCTGGAAGCATAGAGCATTACGGTCGAGGAAACTTCCGACGCTGTCTGGACTTCGTCAAGAACGTGGTGCGCGCATTTAATATCGGAAGGCATTCCGCCAAAGTTGGTGTCGTATTGTTCTCTAGCAGGCCTTACAAGATCTTTGGCTTTAACAGATATAGCAGAAAGACTGATGTCCTAAAAGCTATTGGACGCATTTCATACCCACGTCGGGGAACGAAGACTGGAAGAGCCTTGTCATTCACTCATCGCTACCTCTTCAGAAACACCAGAGGTCGTAGAAATGTTTTGATTGTAATGACAGATGGGCGTTCACAGGACAGCGTCGTTAGACCAGCAAATGCACTGCGTCGTGCCGGTATTCGTTGTTTATCGCTAGGTATTGGTCGTCGTTATAACATTCACCAGCTCAGGCAAATAGCTTCGAGCACCAGAGATGTCTTCACGGCTGGATTTAGAAACCTGATTTCCGTGGTTAGAGTCATCAAGAAGAAGGCTTGCGGAACTTCAGGTATGCATAAATTGTGTACATTGTAGTAGGTACATAAGATTAAACAACATTTTCAGGTTGTCTTATACTAATATGCCCTCATGGTTATTAAGAAAACCTGTACCGTGAGGACACCGTAACTTGTTTATATTATCTCTAAAAAGACTGTATACAAGGTGCGAATAAGTTATTATTAGAACATCATTTAACATTCAAAATTTTATCTATTTATTCATTTATTTATTATAGGTCAAGGATCAAGCAGACCAGGTAAACCAAGGCCAGGCAGACCTTCTGGCGGAGGATTTTACCAATGGGTTGGATGTTATAATGACCGCCGACACCGTGCTATAAAGTCCATGATTGCTAATTACAGAGGACATCGTAACGCCGTTGCCAAGTGTGCTAGATTAGCACGCAGAAGGGGATACAAGGTGTTCGCTCTTCAATACGGTGGACAGTGCTTCTCTGGAGCCCGTGCACATTTGAGCTACAGTCGCTATGGACCAAGTAATAAATGTCGTCGAGGTGTCGGAGGAGCTTATGCTAATGATGTGTACAGAATTAAATGTATGTAATATCACAAAATTTATATTTCTCGCAAGCAAATTTGTCCTCTCAAGAACTGTTTGTTATTTGTTTCCTAGACATGCACTGTTCTCGAAGATGAGCAACGTGCTATTATGCAATTATATGTTATTTAAGGGGACGTGCAACATATGTTGCTTGATCTTGTTCTTTCGCTTTTACCTTCGAACAAAGAAACAATTCCCGAAAAGTCACTGAAATAGGAAAACATTTTGCATTAGTTGAATGAACTTAAATATATCAGTATGCACCAAACCACCTTTATGTAAATTGGCTATAACCCATACCACTTAACAACCGTTTTCACTTCATTCATAGGGCGTGGTCCAACCAAAAACAATAAGTGGCACTATTCTTTAAGAGGTTGTTACGGTCGAGGTCCAGCAGGATACAAACTTGCTGACTTAAGACGTGTACCTCACGCTGTACGGAAATGTGCTCGTTTGGCCAGAAAAAGGGGATATAAAGTGTTCGCTTTACGAAATGGAGGCATTTGCTATTCTGGTCCAAGAGCGCATTTAGCTTATCGTAGTAACCGTAAACTACGTGGTTGCAGTAAGCTTAGAGGAGGACCGCGATTCAATTCTGTTTATGCCATCAGAAGAGGTCAGTAAATTACTATTCACAGTCGTATGCTTTTCAAGAATGTATAACTTATTAAATGTTTCTCGTTTGTAGGGCCACCACCATCAAAACATAGTCTATGGTTACGTCGACAGAGACAGAGGTTGCGTAGACTCCATCGACTTAAAATGCGCAAACTAAGGATGAAGAAACGTCGCCACCGTGAGAGGATGCGCAGAATACGATTGCAGAAACTCCATCGAGCGAGAATGCACAGACTAAAAATGCTGAAACTTCGTCAACGCCGAGCGAGGATGCACAGACTAAGAATGCAGAGACTACGTAGCCGCAAAGCGAGGATGCACAGACTGCGAATGCAGAAACTGCGTCGCCAAAAGGCAAGGATGCACAGAATACGAATGGAGAGGCTCCGTCGACACCGAGCAAGGATGCACAGACTAAAAATACAAAGACGTCGTCAACACCGTGCAAAGATGCACAGACTAAAAATGCAAAGACGTCGTCACCAAAAACGAATGCACAGACTAAGGATGCAGAGACTCCGTCGACATCGTGCAAGGATGCGCAGACTAAAAATGGTAAGACGTCGTCACCAACAAAGGATGCGCAGACTAAGGATGCAGAGACTCCGTCGACAACGTGCAAAGATGCGCAGACTAAAAATGCAAAGACGTCGTCACAAACAAAGGATGCGTAGACTAAGGATGCAGAGACTCCGTCGACATCGTGCAAGGATGCGCAGAATAAAAATGCTAAGACGTCGTCACCAACAAAAGATGCAGAGACTCCGTCGACATCGTGCAAGGATGCACAGACTAAAAATGCAAAGACGTCGTCACAAACAAAGGATGCGCAGACTAAGGATGCAGAGACTCCGTCGACATCGTGCAAGGATGCGCAGAATAAAAATGCTAAAACGTCGTCACCAACAAAGGATGCGCCGACTAAAAATGCTAAAACGTCGTCACAAACAAAGGATGCGCAGACTGAGGATAAAGAGACTCCGTCGACATCGTGCAAGGATGCACAGAAAAAGAATGCAAAAACGTCGCCACCAAGAAAGAATGCGCAGACTAAGAATGAAGAGACTCCGTGGACATCTTGCAAGGATGCGCAGACTAAAAATGCTAGCACGTCGTCACAAACAAAGGATGCGCAGACGAAGAAGGCGAAAGATTAGAAGAAGAGGAGGAAGAAGGCGAGGAAGAAGAAGAGGAAGAAGACGGCGAAGAAGGCGAGGTAGAAGAAAAGGACGAAGAAGGCGAGGTAGAAGACGAATAGGTGTGTTTAATCTGATAGTTTATTTTAAAATATTTAGCAAATCATAATTATGTCTTCTATTTTTTAGGTAAAAAGAGAGGCGCTGTTTTGCATCCGGAACGAAAATACAGATTACAAGGTAAAGTTTGAAAAATAATTCACCAGCTATATCAAACAATCAGACGTTTAGTTATGGGAAGATGGCTCTCCCTCCCTCTTTATCGACTGGAACATAAGTCAGTCTGAGCTGATAGACAAATGCACTACTTTGACGATACGGCGGCCATCTTGCCAGGGGACCAAAAGAAACAAAAATGATACAGAGTATCGTATGTTTGTCTTTCTTTTATGGGTAAAGTTGATCGAAGTGCCGTCTCAATTCATTTCTTTTTTGTATTGTCTTGTCGTAAGCCGTTAATATCAATTAGCCTGACAAAGCCTTATTTCCACCGAGGAATCCTCATAACCATTTAAGATCCAATATGGCTACTTACTATGGTTCCACAGACACAGTATTTGAAGTAATATTTTCCTTGTCAGGATTTCGATATTTAGGGGAGAACAGGAGCGTACTTATGATGTGATGAAAAATAAAGCTTCTTTCTTATGATCTTGTAGATGTTCAAAAAACACCTATCCCTGACTACTTCTGGTCATTCAACATCAAACTTGCTCAACCCACCCAAGATGTGATTCAAAGCCAAGAAGCTCAACTACAAGATGGCGCAAACATTGTCATTACTCATGGAAAGGGTTCAGTTGCCGAGACTAAAAGCGGGAAGAACGCTTCTATTTCATTGGGTGATTTCAAAGGTTGGTACAATATTGTTATCATATCATTAGACATCAAATTATTATCCCATTCCGTAGAAAAGTGGGGTAAATAAGATAGAGCTGCAATTCTCTTGCAAAGAGCAAAAGGGGTAGGTAAATACGTATTTAGCAATTTTATCTGGACGGGAAAATATTTGCCTCGGTCTGTACGGCATGACCTCAAGCCAAATATGTTACCATCCAGCCCTCTCACTCAGTCAATAAGTATATAGTACATACAAGAGTGCCCGTCCTCCTGATACATGTCCCCTCGTAGCGCAATGCCTTTTGACTGTTTGGAAAAGAACTCACTACCTCCATCATCATTGCGCACTAATGTTGTTCATTATTTCTTGTAATCCTCGTTCATTAAGTGATTCATTACTAACAAGCACCCTATCCTAATGTAACAGGAAAGTGCTACAGTGATCCAGATACATGCAAAGGCAAGGGAATGACGGTCATGACATCAATCAAGCTTGACACTACAACTATGTCCTCCAACTCCAGCTCGTATATCATGTCTACTGGTGGTCAAACGACCAAAGCTCGTGGATTTGCGCTTGTTCACATCAAAGATCAATACGTATTGATACTGGGCACCAAGACAAAGCAATGGATCCTTAAGACTCCATCACTTCCTGCAGAGTGGTTCAACCTTGCCTTCACATGGGACAACGTAGGTCAACTCAAGTTGTTTGTTAATGGAAAGGTAGTTGCAAGCAGCAAGGCACTCCCTCTCAAGCGTCTCCAGGATATGTTCACAAAGTTTACAATCGGACGCCCTAACAACTCACACACACTGAAATACAAGCTTGGACTTGAGGTTGATGATGTTGCATTGTGGCAGATAGCCCTGACTGACCAACAGATCCTTGATGTCATCAAATCAGGTACAATCATCTTTTCTTCCCCGAATTGAAAATTTCCCAAAACAAGGAAATGCCCTGCAGAGTGGAATGTTTTTTTATGTTTTCTCAATATGTAATCTCTTGGATGGAATAATAAGTAAAATAATGATGATGATGAAAAAAAAGTTGTCTTCGTTTGGGTCATCGCCACCATGTTGGTGGTATTCGACACTAGAATAAAAGTTTGGCAGAGAAAAAGGTTTTGAAGCGCGCGCTGTCTGCTTCCACGAGCGATTTGTAATTCGATGACATGTTTTTGTTAGTATGTCCTTATATTTACCACGGCTCTTGACCAATAAACACTTTTGGTAAAATAATAATTATTATTATGAATTGAAATATTCTTTTCAAGGTGTTCATCTACCAGAAAATCAAAAGAAAGCATCACCCAATGTCAAGTCAAAGTAAATTGGTATTCAAACCGGTAAGAAAGAAAACCTACTCTTCTTAACTCTTCTTAACTTAGTATGTAAATTTGATGCACTAGTTGAATAACATCTTTATTTGGAAAGGAAAAATATAGATAACAAGAATAGCTAAAATATTGTCAACCGAAACGACCTGAATGTTTCTCTCTGATACAAAAAATAATGTTGAACTGAGTACGATTGTGTCTGAGACAAATAGAGGATATTATATGGGCGCGCGGAGATACGAATTTTATCTTCGAGTGTTGAACGCTCACTCGTGAGATATTTTCAACAAGAGAAGATAAAATTCCTATCTCCAAGCGGCCATGTAATATTCTGTTTATTATATAATTATCAATGAAGTATGTTTTGGCTTTTTCAGGCAATTCTTTCCGTGTATTTTTGAATAGCCATCGCAATGGTGTTATTTTCACACGTGAAAATAACATGTTATTTTCACGTGTGAAGATATCAATTTTTCGAAATAGAGAAAAATAGATATCTCATTGGTAATTATATAATAAAACGAACTATTTAATGAAATAACATATTTATTAACCGACTATATCAATTTGCATGAAATGAAGGCATTTCGTACATAAATAAATATCAAGTCCATCAAAGTGACAGAAATTAAGAGTTCACACTCCCATTGTTGTTATTAAAATAATATTTGTTTATTCGTTTTGTTGTTTTTATTTTTATTTCTATTGATTACTACTATGGATTAAATGTACCTTGCCGAATACATAAACATACTGATACTAACCACAATCTATTCAAACTTTCAGGAAAAGGAAAGTTGAACCTGAATATTCAAAACCAAGCTAAAGATATAAAAAGCATAAAACACGCATAGTCAATGTAGGAAAACTAAATAATAAAATATTAACAAATATGATTACTCAAGACAATTTGTAATCTTCAACTCAATAAGTCTACGACTTGTATGAATTCTCTCTATCAGAGAGTTAGTAAATTAATCTCGTTACAGAGGTGATTCAGCTATTATATACTTCTAGATTAGCCTGTACTAGTAATTGCATGCAAATTCAATAAAGACACTGTCCAAAATCATTCTACTTTTGCTTGCCCCATTCACGACTCTTACAAATACCAACATTTCTATAATGTGTGGGCATAGCCCCACTTTTGAAATAGAAATCAAAAGCAGAATTTAGAATAACAAAACAAGCAACTCCTGGATTCAGGGCTAACACCGCACATTCTATCAATTCTGGTATTTTCAAAACCAGGAACTATGGACCATTCTTGGTTCATATTCATATACATACCCTCAAATCACATATATATCTATAATATATAATCACATATATATCTATACGTTATGTAAAGGTGGGTCCCTTGTGTGTTGTTCTTTTTCTCTGTCCTCTCAGTGTCTTCTTCATTTCTCAATTGACACGGCTTTCTTCGTTATTCACAAGGCTTTATTCTTGATATAACCCTTATTATAAATGCGAGGTCAATATATAATTATTAACCCGGTTAATAGCTATATATAGGCCGTTCGCATTTATAATGATATTTATTTGATAGAAAACCTCAATTGATAAATAGAATACTTAATTACCTCGAACGTCGGCAATAAGCCTATACATCCCTCGGGACTGCGGCCCTCGGGATGTATATGGCTTATTGCAGCCGTTCTCGAAAATTAACCCTTACTTCTCTAGTAAGTTCTGTGTGCACTAAGCATCTTTTCCTACAAAAACTTTTTGGCTATTTTCAGCCCGTGGTTTTCATCGATTTTGGCCCATTTTCACACCTTTTCAAGAATTATGCATTATTTATGAGGGATACAAAATAGCTCATTTTTGGCCATTTTCAAACAAAAAGCATGGGCTATAGCCCATGGTTTTCACCGATTTTGGCCCATTTTCACACCTTTTTTTAAATTATGCATTATTTATGAGGGATGCAAAATAGGTCATTTTTGGCCATTTTTAGACAAAAACCATGGGCTTTAGCTTTAGCCCATGGTTTTG